TCCCTCGTTAACCTGCCCATGTTTTCCCAATCAGCCTTGTGTATTTATACCACCTGTTTTGCTCCTGTCCTTTGTCAGATCATTGTTGTTTGTTGTCACCGTTGTGTTTGTTCCTGCCGTTCCCGTTCTGTAATTAAATTCGTTTTTACGTTATCCGTGCCTGCTCTTCTGCCTCCGGAACCCACCACCACACATGGTCCACCATCTCCAGCCACACATCATGACAATATGTCTCAGTCCCATCAGCATTTTCTTTGATTGCATAAACCCATCTTCCCTCCTACAGTGGATTTACCCTCTGGCTAAGTGGTTAATGTGAAGGTATCATTTTCATTTAGCGATCTGACTTCTTCCTCCATGGCCTTAGCCCACCTTTCTGACATTGTCGAAGTAATAGCTTCTTTAAACGTCAGTGGAACATCAGTCAATACTCTGTAACAATAATCAACATCAGCTAGTTCGTCATTGTCCTCCACCTTACACTCATAGTCTTTCAGGTATCCGGGACGCTTTGTCTCTCTTTTAGGTTAATGCCTGGTCTCCTGGCTATCCATCCGAGTTCTGGTTTCTAAATCTGAGACTTCAGTCTCTTCAATCTCTGTCTCTGCTTCTTGTTTCATATCAGGACCTGGTTCAACCATTTTATGTGTTAACATGGGGGACACAACTCTCTTCCCATATGCGTCACCCTCCCCACAAACAGTATGTGTCTGAGATGAACGGTCAGTCACAGTTTTAGTAATGAACTTCACTAATCTATGTTTCAGTACTTTACCAGTATTAGGGAAATACACCAGATATGATGGACTATTTTTGTCATATCCAACAAATATCCCTTTCTTGCTCCTAGGATCTAACTTTTTCTTGTTGTGCTTGTAAGGATGACAGACAGATCCAAAAGCTTTCATTTTTGACAGATGAGGTCTTCTTCCGGTCAACAAGCAGTAAGGAGTTTGCCCTGTTCGTCTATTCAGACATCTATTCCGAATAACTGCTGCAGTCCTTACAACATACGTCCACAGCTCTTTTGGTAGGTCACTTTCTAATAACAGACACCTCACCATCTCAAATAAAGTCCTCCAGTTCCTCTCAGCTGTCCCATTTTGATGGGATGGTGCTGTCGTTTCATGCCTAACAGCATTTTTGTTTAAAAGTGACTTGAATTCTGTGGAAGTGAATTCTGTACCATTATCAGATCTGATACATTTGATATTCCCATAAGGGGCAGTATCAGCAATAAACATCTCTGTAGCTTTTGCAGTATCGTTTTTGGCTTTTGAAAATATACGAACATTGCACCTGAATAGTCGTCAGTAAATGCTAATGCGTATTTAAAACCGTCGTTGGCCTCTGGGTCTATGGGGCCAGCTAAATCTGTATGCACATGCTCAAGTGCTTCTTTAGCTTTTATATCAGGCTCCCTGTTCCTTGTCTGAGCAAACTTTCCTTGTATACAGACTTCACAGATGTTATCTGTTTTATTGCTTTTCCCTTTGATTGTCATCCCTTGGGTTACACTCTCTAATTTAAGTAAATCATCATAATTACAGTGCCCAAGTATTTTATGCCATGTCTGGATTTCATAACATCCTTAACTTTCATCATTTGTCACTCTCATTAACAGTGTTCAGATAATAGAGCCTCCCGTATTCTTTGATTTCAAACATGGCACATTTTTGTCTGTTTTATCTCAGCGATGCTCACTGTGAAAGTAAAGGATAAAATAAGAATGCTCATAAAAAAGTATTTGTTAAATGTAAATGTGGAAAAAAACTATATTATTATTACCTTATTAATGTACGTTAATCATGCTTTATGCTTCATTATAAGCCACAATGTCTTAGATAAATGAACTCGCTAACTCAATGGGAAAACAGAACAAAGTAAACAATTCATTTTAGTAATTAAATACAATTCAGGGGAAGTGAGGATTAAATAAATACAAATGAATAATTACATGAAAATAAAATAATATTAATAATGAAACAGTAATGGGATGTAATGTTAACCTGTTATTTTTTTAAACCTGTAAACATGCTTTAGTGTTTTCAGCCAAGTTCAGTGCATATATCCACCTGCCAGTTAAAAAGTAAAAATCCTGCAAAGGAAACAACATTTGCTTGCTTTTAAAATTTTGGGATTATTTATTTCATCTTTGTAAATGCAAACATTTTAATAACCAAATTAGTAACTTTCTCCAAATAACAGCTAAACAGGAAATAAGAAATAAGCAGCAGATCAGGGGAGCATCTAATGTGTTTGTGTGCACTTCTTCATGTGACTGATCACAGTTTTGCTTTACTCTTGAAGCAATAATGAGTGCATCACATTTCGCCAGAGGACAATAAATACTAGAACATTTCTGAAGAAAATTTGAAAGGAGCCTGCCACCTGGCTTAGGATGGTGGCCACGTGTCCTAAGGCAAAATAGGAGTCACAGCTTCATACAAAAGAAGAGCACCAAATATATTCTAGTTTTATGACCTGTATCTGGAATTATTATCAGCAAGGCTTAATAATGCAGCTTTGTGTACCACGGTGTCTTGGGCAGACTTGATATGTAACCGTAAGAGAATACTAACGACTATAGTGGGATGTACTAACTGTTGCACACTGGGGAGAAGGTGGGAAGAAAAGGTTGTGAACTGATAAAACGTTATAAACAGGAAGTTGGTTGGTTGTCTGATTTGTTTTATTTTTCTTCAGCTTCCTAATAAAAATGTAATGAGAACAAGAGAACTGCTGTAGGTAGAGGTGGACTCTTTAAAGCAATCTTTATGACGTTCACATGGCTCGGGCCAAAACAAGAGTAACAGAGGGCCGACGCACATTTAGCACTGCTCGGTTAACGGCAGAGTTTTAGTCTAAAAATGAAAAGAGATGCTGATGAACTCTTTAGTATTGCTCTTATCTTCAGGGCTGATCAGTGAAGGTTCACAGGTGCCAAATGTAAAGTAATGAATTGCTCCCAGACAAAGCAGAAAATGAGACCTACATCCTAATTTAACCTCAGCAGATACAACACTTCAAACAGTATAAACAATGGGTGGAGCGGTGCAACCATGTTCATCCCCATATAAAACCCCATTAGAGCAGTGCTTGCTCTTTACCCCCCTCCCCCCCCCCCCCCCCCCCCATCAAACGCCTTCTCACATCTACATGCAAGAACGATCAAGCACTTACAGAAGTCCATGCAAACAGCAGAGAAATGCCTGAAATTTTTTGATAATATATTCCAGATCATTTTTCATTCCAAGGAAATGACCAGCCTTCTCTCACACCTGTTTCCAGGGATGAAACATCAGGATGTTTCTAGAAGCTGGCTCTCATCTACACCTTTTTATCCTAACGTCAGGAATCGGATCATTCCTAAAAGTCTCAGACGTTGCTTTGTTGTGTTAAATCTCTGCTGTGATTGAAAAGTAACTGCTACATGTTTAAATGCTGACAAGAAAGGAATTCATTTCCTCCACACGACTGTGTCATTTTGATCACATTGGTGAGTAAAACGGCACAAAGTAAACCTCCACACCCATTTGTTTTAAAAGTAGCTCCTAAAATAACATTTTTACATCTAACAAATATGCGTCTTAATCAAGTATCCACCAGCCTCCACATTCCAAAAATGAGTCTTGGCCATAATAAACAATGTGCCAAATCACAACTGTCACCCCAACTTCACCCTGGAGGCATCAGCGGTGCAGAACGGTTTACTAGTGAGTTTCGCTGCGTGCCAGTACACACCAGGAGAGTCTCAGCCACATGGTGGCTTCTCTGCCGTGATGCTCATTGGACTTGCAAGATCAAAAAACCCAAGACCTCAAAGATCACTGTTTGTTTATGCCATCTGCCAATAAACTAAAAACAAAGAGATCACGTTGATATCGCTGTTTGATGTCATGTATATGTTGTTCCTCTCCACTGCCAGGATGAAAGCCATGAAAACCCACCGTTGCACTTCTCAAATGATGTGGGGAGTAAATAAACCTATAGGTAAAATGTTTTGATATAATCTACATAGAAATGAAATTGCATGGTTGCAATAGTATTTTATTTTGAAAATTGCTGGAAGTTTTACACTGAAACTGCATTTGATTGCCTGTCTTTGTTAACTGCAGAAATGATCATATCCCAGAAGCAGCAAAAATAGAACCCATACTATCTTAAGCGGTGCGGTGCAGCATGGTGCAACACGGTGTGGTTCGGCGTGGTGTGGTGCAGCATGGTGCAACACGGTGTGGTTCGGCGCAGTGTGGTGCAGCATGGTGCAACACGGTGTGGTTCGGCGCGGTGTGGTGCAGCATGGTGCAACATGGTGTTGGTTCGGCGCGGTGTGGTGCAGCATGGTGCAACACGGTGTGGTTCGGGCGCGGTGTGGTGCAGCATGGTGCAACACGGTGCGGTGGGTCATTTGTTCATCATTTAGGCGGAAGAGGAAACAAGAAAGAAACTGTGGATGCACACACGTCCCCACATCTGAGTAGCAGCAGCATCTGATACAGTTGAACTTCCGCTCAGACTTTGGAATATAGTTTAGTGTGTTATGTTTACACGTGCACAGCCATTGCATCTGTCTTGCTCTGGATCCCCTGGTTTTTGTAGCCAGACACTGCAGTATTAAGGGCAAGCTCTGGGCTTTCATGGAGGCTGCTTTGTGAACCTGTGCAACATATTACACACAGAATAATTCTGCCAGACACACACAACAGAAGTTAAACAAGGATCACTAAATGTTTTAAAATCTTGTTTCAGAGTGTAGGGAAGGTGAAGGGTGAGCCATCTACTGTCATGACTGGAGGGTTCATAACGTCTGTAATCCACAAGATTCTAAACACCAAATTTCCTGTGTTTCCTCGTCCAAAAACAGCCAGCCTGGCCCACACAAAATAACAGCACGGGGGGGGGGGGGGGGGGGGGGGGGGGGGGGGGTGGGGGGGGGGGGGGGGGGGGGGGGGGGGCACTGGAGAGCAGTCCTTTGTTGTGGAAATGCCACCTCTTACCTTGACAGGTGGGTTTGGCTCGGTCCCACTCTGGTCTCTTGCTGTTGCCCATGACACACGTGAGAGTGGAATGTCCTGCAGCAGGTAGCCGGCCTCGCAGTGAAATGTCACCATAGATCCCAGCTTGTAGTCTGCTCCCCAATCTTGTGCCATTCATTACATTACCCGGATCAAAACAGGCCTCCCGCAGTTTTGCTGCCAATCAAAACAAAACAAAGCTTTTACCGCAGAAGCAGCTAACACAGAAGCGCTTCCTGTTCGGGCATAAATTTGAATTAATACATCCTGCTACTCGGAATGCCCGGCTCTTCCTGAGTTATTTAAGCCGTGTAAATTAAAACCATTTTCATTTGATGAAAATATAAAAAGAACAATGAATCTGAGACTAGAAACACAAATGCATCATTTTTCAATTTCTCAACTTATTCCTTTATAATTATAATCTCAGTAAATCCCTTGTTCTAACACCTCCGCATATAAAAACACACACATACACTTTGCATTGCCAATCAAAGTACCTTTGTACTCCAAATGAAAGCCAGCGTAGCTCACAGAGCCATCACTGCGAAAGGCCAAGTACATGAAGTTAGAAGTGCTCTCAATCTTCTCAGGAAGTTTACTGTCCTGGAAGCTGCCGATGAGATGAGCGCTGCTGTCGGGTCCGTCGTAGATGTACAGGAAATCATAGTTGGGCTCAATGCTGAAGCTGCAACACATGAAAGATAAAACAGTTATTACGTTTGCAGGGTCCTGACCAGCAAAACGAGAGATTTAGAATCCATTAGGATTTCAAAATAAAGGTGTAAGAAGTGAAGCAATCTTCAGACAAAGAGATAAAAAAGGCTCCTTTAAACACCCCCCCCCCCCCCCCCCCCCAGAGGTGAGAGGAGATTAAATTGTTGTGACACCGAGGTGCACGAAAGTCTTCCCGGACGGCGATGGCAATGCAGCGTGAAGAGATGGTTTCATATTGTAGCGCTGGCATATCAAATCACGCGCCTCACCAGGAGGAGAGGAGCATTTGTTTGCAAAATAATGAGCACGCTTTATGACTAAAATGGAAATAGCTCAGAAATAATTATGTTTGAGTTAAATCAAGGCAGCTTCCATTTAAAACTGTGTCTCTGTCTTTTCATTTGGTATTCCCAAGAGAGAAAACACTACACTGTGGGAACTTTATTAGTTTGTTGTTTTGAAAGACAAAGTTGGAATTTAAAAAAATACATATCAAGTGATTTTTTTTTTCACCTTCATGGTGAAAACATAGATCGAGGTACTTCTGAAAAGTCATAGTAAGAGCAGGCAGCAAATGTGAAAACAGAAAAATAGCTGGTGAAGTTTTGCCCTTAGGCTTGTCTTTGTATTTTTGTCTGCTGGTATTTGGGCTGCATGCTTAGTTTGCAATTAATAATGCAAAGTTTACGGTCTGAGTATCATTCAAACAAGAAACAAGCTGCACTCGTATCACAGCTCTGCCACACGGCGCTCATGCAGAAATCTTGTCGCGGCACATTTAAGCAAAGTGGTGTAAAGGCCTTCTAGGTGTCTTTAGAGGAAATCCAGCAGGGCTCCTATCTCCAAAACACACCTGGACTCCTAACCTGGGCCCTCTGCCTTAACACACATGGCCAACCTGACTCAACACTATGACGTTATAGCTGGTTCCACAGCAGAAATACAAGCAATCCCATGATGCAAAGCTGCTGTGAATCCGCTGAGAACCGAGCTGATTCTGTTTCAGGCAAGTTACAAACACACAGAGGACTCTGATAGAGCGTCAAAATGTAAGCAACTGGACCTTGTACTTAAAGGGCAAAAGAAAAAATATGTATATTTGTATAAGTGCGTGCAAACATCCATGCATCCTTTGTGCATTACGTGCTGATGTGGCTGTTTTACCTGATGAAAGCCAGCGAAATGACGTAGTCAGAGTGAACAGCAATGAGCCAATCACAGTCCTTGCTGTGTGGGTAAGGGTGAGGGTAGTTGGGTGAGAGGATGAATCCAGAGGGACCCGGTGACATTCCCTCCACATGGAGCTTTGGAGATAAAGAGAATGAGAAAGATCAGACAAAAGAACTGCTGTCAATGAGCTCTGCTGCTGCAAAGTTATTCAGCCGAGTTCAAATCACAGAAAAGGTCATTTATGTAAATGACTCCATTTTTATAACCTTAGTGGACATCCTTAAGGATAAAGAGTGAAGTAATTTACCCGTGGAGTATGATGCAGAAGTGTCTCACGTACTTCCTTATTTCTATTTATATTTAACAAGAAGTTTTGTGTGTTATAATTTAAATGAATATTTCACAAATTCTTAAGAGATTTTTAGGAGTTTTATATTTAACAAACATCATAAGCACATTATTACAAAAACGAATCCCTAAGTCTGACCCTAACCCAGTCTTTGACCTGGAAGAGTAGAAAACACAAGTACACTGGTGGGGGCTGTGTTCCATTTAGAAGAAGCTCTGTTTGTTAGTTTTACAGCACAATGAGCATGTATTGTTGCAGAAGTGGAACGCAGCCCCTCGTTATAACCCCAGTGCATTTCCGTCTATTGCAACCCCAAACTTCTGCCGTTAAACAGATCCATAATAAAAGGTTTATGATGTGATTGCAGCTCATTTTTCATTAATACCTCTTTAACTAGAAAATTCCTGAAGAAATTTTGACACAGGATGGTGGCAACCTGGTGAGAAGCCAGGTAGCTATAGCTCACCTCGACGTTAAGCAGGTGTTTGCTCATTAATAAACTCATACGTTACTACGCACAAGGTGTAAACACAAGCAGGCCCCTTGGCGTTGGCTAAGCTGCCAAATTCCTGATAAACACAGCAGCGGTCCGCTCACTTCCATGCTAACTCAGCAAACAAACAAACCCAGACATTAGCTCCAACATCAACTCACACGCATGCTCCAAGGAGGGGGAGAAAAACATAAACCTCGACTAGAGCGCACCATCCAAGTAAGTTCACTACCGTGCTCGATAGCTTTAACTCAGCTGGGAACACAGCTAACCGCCACCTGTGGCACCCGTGCATGGCATGAAAACCCATAGGGATTGTTTGTCAAATATCCAATGTCCAACTAACTTCACCGCCATGCGCGCTAGCTCACTACAGCGGTAGCTAAACAAATAATTGCTCATATATAAAGCCAGACATTACTAACCAAACATTCGCTCTAAACACCAAAGCAGCCAGACATGAAAGCAGGTCAGGGGTGGAAAAAGGTGAGACCACGAAAATAATCCAGCAGAGTGAAGGGCCGGTGTGAAAATATAATAAAGTACCTAAAATGCATTAGAAGTAATAAAACCAACCTCTATACTGAATAACAGGGGGAGTAAACCTGGTCCTTGAAGGCCACAGTGGCTGCATGTTTTCTATGTGTCCCTGCTCACACACACCTGATTCTACATCAAGTTAGGATTCTTGTTTTAACACAAGCAAAGCCCTTAGTTACCTTTTAACAAGTTTCTGCTCCTCCTGAGAAGAGGACAAGGCTGGGACGTATTTCGCCACATGTCCCAGCCTTGTCCTCAGCTCTGAGGGAGGAGACAGACAAAGAGGAGCTGGGGTGATGAGTGGGTTGGTCTGTGGTTCTCCCACAGAAGGATTTAGGTGAGTAGATGTCATCTCCTGCATTCTATAGCTTTTTAACAGTTTTTTACAAAATATACATGTAAAAATTGTTTTTAAATTTACAACTTAAGCAAGTTATGGTTTAAAGACTAAATCTATTATCAATTAAATAAGATCAATATTGAAAATAACATGAAGTAACATGTTTGCCCTGGTTAGGAGTCAGGGTTAGTGTATGCGTCAAAGCACTGCCTCTTCGACAGGCCCCTTAATTATCAGTTTGTAAACTCTGTGTGTGTGTGTGTGTGTGTGTGTGTGTGTGTGTGTGTGTGTGTGTGTGTGTGTGTGTGTGTGATAGGTTGTTATTTGATTCTGCTGGTTAGTGCGGTCGTGTCTTTGTGCTATAAGACCTAAAACTGTTACAGGTCTTTCTGAGACAAGTCAGCAGCAACTCAGGAACATCTAGGCTTCTTAGAAACGACTTTGTGTAATTCACTCTAATTGGGTTCTTAAGTAATTAGCTGTTAAGCGCTGCTAAGACCATGAAATAGAGTACAGCCCTGAGTATCTAAAACGCACCAGAGGTGGGGTTTTCCACATGTTTGTTCCTTTAGGAGAAACTTCTATACCTGTGCTTGCACAGGGAGAACATGGAAGCTCCATGCAGAAAGGGCTAACCCGGGATTTGAACCTGCAACTTGTTTTGCTGCCCAGGAAACATATGAGCAGACAACAGCTGAAGTATCTCTGCAGAACCTTGTGCCACCCTCTGGTTTTGAAAGGCACCAGTGATGGAGGACTACAGGACTGCTGCAGCCAGTTATCAGACCCCCTCACTCCTCCTCCTCTTCCTCTCACCATTTCTCATTTATCCCAGGCCCCTGCATTCCACTCACTTTCTCCTTCAATCCATACGCCACCCTCTATCACTTCCACATATTCATCTTCTCCATGTCACTCAACCCCTGCTCCTCTTCCTCACCTATGCAGCTTGGAGGGCTGGGTTGCCAGTAGTATCTGTTTTCCTCTTGGATGCAGGTGATTTTGCTCTCTCCCTGCAATTCATATCCCGGATCACAGGAGAAAGTCACAGAGTCACCAGGCTCCCGGCCCTCTCCGTTGCGACTACCATTCATGGGAATACCTGGATCTCTGCAGGCTGTTGCAAGAGAACCTGAAGGGCAAACACACACATAAACACACACATGACTCTCTCTCTCACACACACATACACATATATAGTAGCAGATGCACATGTGGAGACTCTGGCAGGAAATCAGTGAAACCAAGGGAGAACACATGCACACAGTGTTATATCTCGTGGAAGACAGCTGTTAATCTGAAAATGTAACTAATGTTGAGCAAATTACTGACTGATATCAGCCAGGCCACAGCTGTGCAGCAGCTCGAGGCTTGGAGAGTGATCTGCTAAAAACCTGAAGTCTCTGCTAAATATTCCATCATCACACACTAGACTGATGGCTCCAGCAGTTCGTGATAAATTTTTCATTTTTTTTCAATGCAAATTGCAAAATTATAAATAGAACACATCTTGAAAAAGCAAATTCTGTCAATTTCTATTTGATCTTGAGAAACAATGAGTGTAATGATGCAGGAAGTGGGAAAACAAATCTAAAACCATTATGTAGAAAAAATAAGGACAAATACTGACCTAAAGAAGAAACCCAGAAAAGTAAGCTCTAATTGCTGACAGGAAATTTATTATGTGGGAGAAAACATACAGAGTCAAAGTGTGATGAGTAGTCAATTAGGAAGCGGTGTGAAGATCCAGAAACCAACCAGAGAAAAACCAATGAAAAGGGGAAACTGGAAAATCTCAAATACAATGCTAAAGTTCATTTATGTCAGTGATTGAACCTAAATTAGAGACCGACTCATCTCATGCAAAGCCAGATATGTGCTATAATAGTGACAGCTGATGAAAACCCCACATTCAAAAGATCAGAATATTGTGAAAAGGTTCCATAGACTCCAAGTATCTTACTCTAATCAGCTGATGAATTCAGAACAACTGCAGAGGTTTTCTGAGCCTTTAGATAGTCTCTCAGTCTGAGCTGGACGACTGACTGACTTTTGAACTATATTCAAATTTTTTGAGTTTCACCTGTTTCACCCGAGTTCACCAAATAATTACCATAGAACAATAATCAGTTGTTCTTGATGCACAGCCTATATTTTAGTTATGTTGCCTAGTAAAGCTGCCTAGGGCCCATGGTAAAGCATATTCTCATCAACCTACACTTGGATTTAATACGTTTCTCCTACTGACAATCATGCAAGTCTGTAATTAAAATGTTGTATCTTAATTAAAAATATGATATTTGGTCATATTTGATTTTTTTGTGGTTATATTTAATGATTAAAATGTTAGCATTTTGACAACGTAGATCTACAACAACTCATCAAATATCAAGGCTAAATCAATGTTCAGCCCTATTATATATATATATATATATATATATATATATATATATTTCAATCTAGCATCTGTTTATCATCAATAATGAGCTTTTTAGCTGGGCGTTAAATCAGACATGACAACATATCAAAATGTTGGCTCTGCTTTTTGATTTGTTGAAAAACAAATCAGTGATGCTTTTTAAAAACTGAAAATAACCTGAATGTCTAAACATGAAGCTCTCTGGAACAGCTAATTGCTGCTGAGTGTGTTACCATGGTGACCCAGCCAGTTTTCAAACAGAAACACCACTCTGACACAGAAAACTTTAAACTCTGTACAGCGGTCTAAGCCATTCATCTCACTTCATACATTTCCTTCTTTCACTGTCTGGAAATAGAGAAAGAAGGAAAATACCAAACATGAAATCAAGATTTAACACAAACATGTTATAAACTCAAATGAATAAATAAAGAACAATAACAAACAAAGGGCATGCAAAGCATTTAAGCCCCTGTGGAGCAACAGGCTATAATAAGAACATCTTATAAAGATAAACTGGGATTTAAAAATAGAAGTCACATATGTAGGAGAGTCTTGTAGGAACTGGTCATGGAGATAGTTCCTTGTGTTTTTACACCAACACTAAATCTAAAATGCTAAAACATCAGTGGTGAACTCTTAGTGGAATAATTTAGCTGCTCTAAGACTGAAAACCAGTAAAGTTTATGTTTAATGTTAGAATTGATTTTTACATTAAACATCCAGGACTAAATATAGACGTAAAAGCATCCAAACACAGCAACTGGAGTTCTAGTTTTTATTCGATCATCTGTAGTTTGTTATTTTTAAATGTCGAAAGGATCTCTTACAAACTGAAACTGTTGTTCAGAGTGGCTTCAGCACCTGTAGTTTTTTTACGGTGGTAATAAAATCATTCACGTTTGCAGGATGAAAGCACGATTAACCTAACATTGTTGCATTTTTCCAAAGGGGAAGAATGAATACTATTAATTTTGAGTGTTTTTGTTTGTTCATTTCTTTTTTATGAATTTGTCTGGGCTGTATTTTGAAGGGATGACATGAAGTTTACTTTAAAGGAGCAATATGTAAGAAAAGTAAAACAAATTTACAATGAAAAACATCCCCAAACAGTCCATTGTCTCACTCATGTTGGAAGGAATGATGTACTGGAACAGATCTTATTGTTAATCAGCCTGGGGATTGTCAGTTTTTCTCCTTCCAAAATAAACGAAGGAAGAACGTAGCTACTGTTTACCATCAGTGAGTTTGAGGTTGCCATGTCTCCTGCTAGGCGTTTGTAATTCGACTACACCCGGCAAAAAGCTCCTGGGTTGTTTAAAGAACTGAAACCAGTAAAGAGGAGCAACCCAGAAGTTATGTCTTGTGCCGTTAAGAAGCCATCTTTTTGTTTTACTCAAAAATTCGGGCAAAGAAGGCTAAAGGCTAATGTTGAGCTAACATGCTAATGGGCAATTAGAAGAAAATTGTCAGCTCTAAAAATATCTCAAGCTACTTTTTCAATTAACAACAACTGGATTTTACAGTACAATGTGTGTGTGACATGAACAAAGAGTCAGTTTTACTTCCTTTAATGAGAACTATAACAGCATGCTAGCAGCAGGACGGTAAACAACCACACTTCCTCTATGCCAGGATATTACCATAATAAGTGTAGTAAGTGATCCCTACCAAGTGCTAGTACCAGATATGGTAATGCAATTTTCAACGTATCATCTTACTGTGTATGACCTGTTTTGCCTGTTATCTAGAATCCTCTGGTGCATGTCCATAACTGGCAACCACCATGAAACTCAAGGAACAGATTAGATTGTAGTAACTAAATTTTACCACCAGATGCAATTTTCACTTTATTACTATTGCACCTTTAACACTGCAAATTAGGCTTCCTGGAGAAGTTTTTAAATCCTACCATACGTTTCTTGTTTCATCTAGGATTCTGTTTCATAACGAGTTTTTCATCATATGGGTTCTGGTTATGGTTACAATAAGAGGTGTGTACTGGTAATAATCCGGTGATACGATATATATCACAATACAGTGGAAATGATATGAAATGTTGCGATACTAAAAGCTAGAAGGTATTTTTACTTTCAATTTCGGCCGAATTGTTATCATGAAATAATCAAGGTGTTAAAAATGACTGCCACCTTACGGGCAGTATCAATAAATATTGATACACTACTTTTAAATATTATTTAAGCATCATAACATGAATTATAGCAATATTTCAGTGTATCGATATTTTATTACATCCCTAGTTCCAATCATAAACTACTTTTGAGATGGTAACACTCACTGGAGGAGGTTGTACCATAGTAACGATCAAACTTAACACCTGCCCCCCCATGCACATTTAAATACAACATCAAACCTGACTGTTGATCATTTTTAAGGATGAGAAACAACTCAAAAGGACACTTACTTGAGAAATCAATGGCGAAACCAGACTTGGTGATGTAAAAGTCTGTCTCAAACTGAATGGTAACAGTGTTGAGAGTGGAGTGAATTCCCTCAGGCAGCAGCGAGCCGCTGACCTCCTTCAGAGACATCTCGTTCTCAGGAGGCCCATCCCAAACCTTCAGAATGTCATGAGATGCCTCCGTGTCGAAAGCAAGGAACTGCAGACTGGAAGAGGTGAATAGGAAAGAGTGTTGACCAAGTTGGCTTTTATTTTACTCAAACTTTTGTGTAACAAGTTTTCATAATTCTACTGCATCACAGCCAAAGTTAAAAAGGCAAAAAAAAGAAGATAGATAGATCGATAGATCGATAGATAGATAGATAGATAGATAGATAGATAGATAGATAGATAGATAGATAGATAGATAGATAGATAGATAGATGATAGATAGATAGATAGATAGATAGATAGATAGATAGATAGATAGATAGATAGATAGATAGATAGATAGATAGATAGATAGATAGATAGATAGATAGATAGATAGATAGATAGATAGATAGATAGATAGATAGATAGATAGATGATAGATAGATAGATGATAGATAGATAGATAGATAGATAGATAGATAGATAGATAGATAGATAGATAGATAGATAGATAGATAGATAGATAGATAGATAGATAGATAGATAGATAGATAGATAGATAGATAGATAGATAGATGGATAGATAGCATCTGGCTGTTTACTTTGACCTCTGAGCCAAATTGGGTTTTCTCCCACGGTAATACAAAGAGCTCTCAACAAAAGAAGAACCTTTCATGTCCCGAGAACATTCCCCAGGAGGATGTCAGTCCCTCTCCCAATCACTGGAAGTGAATCTGCCGATGGCCCTTTTTGCCTGATAATACAACTCTTACCTGCTTTATTGAGTCTAGTCCTTAGGTATTTAGCATACCATTAAAGACCCTGTAAGAGGTTCTCGTCCTTTGAGCAGGACGTGTGTGCTGATTTCATTATTTCAAAGGAATGAGTACTCTCTTTAAAAAGAAGTTTCACTTATCAGGATAATGAAAATGTTTCGAAATGTGTTCAGTTCTAACCTGAAGTGTACAAAACCACAGAGCAGAAGTCCACCCCACAATCCAACAGCTGGCAAAAGCACTTAGAGCAGAATAACAGGAAGTGGATGTTTTCTGTCTGACTTCAAAACTCCCTCTTTAGGTTGTGGAGCATTAGAGGTCTACTTTTGTGTACTGTGTTACTTGAACCCATTACAGTTTGAGAGATTCACCAGGGTCAAAGCCCCAATGCAGCATTTCAATCATTTGGAGGTCTGGACTCTCACTGGATCATCAAACAGTCATCTTGTCTTCTCAGCCACCGTTTTAGGTCTGTTTCTGTGCTTGGGGCTGTCGGCCCAAAGAATGACCCAGGGTGGACCAATCAAAATTCTTGGGCAGATGATTGATTATGGTCAACTCAACGACTGCACGAGCCCAGGTTCTGTAGATGCAAAACATGACCAAACATTCCACCATCATGCTGGCAGCTGCTATGAGGTGTCATTTGGTTATGCCATCATAGGTAAATGTCTCTACTCTGGCCTCATCTGTGCAAAGAGCAATATTCTAGATATCTTATAGTCCATATTTCTAAACTTAAACATGCTGCCATGTTTTGTTTTTGGTAATCCTTCAGTCTGACTTGAACTTTGACCCTCAACCTGCTAAATGAGCACTGCAAAATGTGAGATTTTGAGTTATTTGCCCTTTCCCTAAGAATTTCATGGTTTTGCTTTGATTCAGGAGGAGCAATGTGGTTTTCATCCTGGCCGTGGAACACTGGACAGCTCGGTCATCCGGGAGGGGCTCAGAGTAGACCCACTGCTCCTCCACATTGAGAGAAGCCAGTTGAGGTGGCTTGGGCATCTGGGCCTCCCTGCTAGGCTACTGACCCCATGACCCAACCCGGGGTAAGCGGCCAAAAATGGCCGCTCTCTCTCTCTCTCTCTCTCTCTCTCTCTCTCTTTCTCTCACTCTCTCTCTCTGTATATATATATATATATATATATATATATTTAACGTGTTAATTATGATTAATTAATTAGAAAAAAATACCGTGTAAAAAAAATTTCACGCATAATCGCAGCTTGCATTTCGAGCAAGGCGGAACCTTTGTCATTGCACGACTTCCTCGTAGACTGAATATCAATGACGCACACAACAATGCACAGAGGCTAATGGCTACTAAAACGGAATAAAAACAGAAAGAAGTTGCCTTGCTTGGACTGATGCAGGATTTAGGAAACGTCCGCCTCTTTTCTTAACTTGGAAAAACAAACCTTCCAGACAACAACGGAGTCCGTGTCGCGGACTTTTTTCAGAGATCGTCTCTGCTGCGGCTGCCCCGGTGGCACCAGAAACTTTACAAAAGTTGCGGTAAGCTATATTTTTAACATTTACGTAACATCTGTGCAGCGCTGAAAGCACCAAACAGAATAATTCTTTGCCGTAACAGTGGTTTATGAAAGTAGTCAGACAAACGAGAGGCACCTGGCTGCCGCTGGGAGAACGCTCCGTGTTCTCACTACTATGTAAACAATCACAAACAACGTGTCTTAAAGTTGAAAACAGAAGTCTAAGTTAAAACAGAAACACTCTGAAACTTTTCTGATGATTTTCTAAACAATTCTGTCGGGGAATTATATGTTTGTGAGACGAGTCACTGTCTAAACATCACATGCATTACTGTAATTAAGCGGCAAGTTGTGTTGAAGCTGTCATCAGCTAAGGGGCGGATGCTTAAGTGCATCAGGGGCAGCAAGGAACGAGAAAGTTGTGATCAGGCTGGAGATCATACCAGATTCGCTGCTGCAGGTGTGAATCTGTGGGTCTGCAGCATCCCCGTATTAACATATCAGGACTTCCCATGTAAGGAAGGTCCGCTCACCTGTTCGTCAGATCATTATTTCCACTCCATGATCTTTTATCTTCCCATCAACCTCCAGTCATCCAACTGGAACCAGTTAGTATTCCTGATCATTCACAGAATATGTCACGCCTGCTCTGGTGTTAAAAGTTAGTACATTTAAGTCCTAGATCATAATTGTGCCTGTTCTACTGTCATTTTGAAGGATTATTATTTACATGTGTTTTTACGACATTATGAGTACAAATGCTGATAAAAACTCCCAAATTATTCAAACAAGTGAAACTGGAAAAATTTGAATCTGGTGCAAAGTCAAATTTATTTCAGTCATTCAACTAGACAGAAAGACTATTTAAAGGCTCAGGAACCCTTTGCATGTGTTTTCTATTTGTAATTATAAATTTTAGTTCATTTGGGTCTTGTTTCATATCACACAGTGACATTTGAATAATTAAAATGCATTTTTTTGTTCAAAGCTTTAGTTTACAGTAATAACCATGTCTGATGTTTGATTCTCTGTCTCATAATTTTAATTAAAAGTTTTGCTTTGAGAGCACATTTTCATGAACGATTAAAATGCGATTAATTTAGATTAATTAATTACAAAGCCTCTAATTAATTAGATTAAATTTTTTAATCAAGTCCCAGCCCTAATATATATATATATATATATATATATATATATATATATATATATATATATATATATATATATATATATATATATATATATATATATATTAGGACTACTATTAGGCTACTGACCCCATGACCCAACCCGGGGTAAGCGGCCAAAAATGGCCGCTTGATCACTCTCTCTCTCTCTCTCTCTCTCTCTCTCTCTCTCTCTCTCTCTCTCTCTCTCTCTCTCTCTCTCTCTCTCTCTCTGTGTGTGTGTGTGTGTATATATATATATATATAATCATCACCTTTATTTATGAAAGCACCTTACAGCCATATGTTATGCCACCAAGTTGCTGAGCAGGACGAAAATAAGAAAATAAAAACAAGAAATATATAAACCCAAAATAAAAGTCACAAAATACAAGATATATGTATTTAATCATACATTTGATAAAAACTGAGATTTCACAATTAGATAAATTCTTCCGTTTAATGTGTTTACTCTTGTCAAAACCTAGTTTCACCAAAGAGAGAAACATAAGTTTATGATTATGATTAATTGTGTTTTTTCTGGAGCACATTTATGTGAAGATGCATGTATCTCTGATGGTTACCTGACGATGTTTCCAGAGCTGACCTCAATAATCCAGGTGCACCTTAGATTATTGTCATAGGGGAAGGGGTACCCTGGAGAGAGGATTCGACCTGTAGACTGACCCTTAAAACTGCCTCCACACTCCGCTGCATGGAGAAAAAAAAACATTATTATACAACATTAGCCTGGCCTGCCAGACTCCTCCTCCTCCTCTGTTTAATTCTGCACAGAGAAAGGCTCTGGGAACTCTCCTACTCAAGTAACCCCACCCCCTGAGAATTCTAACCGAGCCAATCAGAGCTGAGTAGCGTAAGTCACACACCATAACGCCGAGTTTGTCGAACATGGCGACTGAAGCGGAGTTTACTGCGGCTCTTTCCTTTGTTCTAAATGACTTGAATGTCTTTAAAACCACAAGTAGAAGCAATTAACGCACTTCTTCTAAAGAAAAATGTTTGTGCCGTCGCCAGATGCCTTTTTTGACTACAGATAGAAAACGACAGTGTCACAGATATCACACACACAGTAACGCTCAGTTTCTCATAAACAACGAAGACAGGGGCGGAGTTCGCTGCGGCTCCTTCCTCTGTTCCAAATTAGTTGAATGTCTTAAACAACAAAAGCATTTCTTCTAAATAAAAAAGATGTTTGCGCCCTTGCCAGACGCTTTTTTCTACTATGGCTTAAAAAACTACAGCGTCGCGTGGTGCAGTCGGCATTTCCGTCTTTTTCTGATTGGTTATTTTTGAGCTGCCTAGTCCCGCCCCTCATGTGCCTCTCTGCCTGTGAGTTACCAGACTCGTCATTCGTGCAGAATTACACAGAGGACGAGTCTGGCAGGCCAGGCTAACTAAACATGCAACAGACACCATCACCATTTAACACCATAGATAAAAAAATATCTACAACACAACAGATGAGGGTTTGACTTGAAAATAAGCAGAACTAATATGGGTTGTCTTAGTGATGTTTGCAGATGCAAACCTTGTTTTTTCTATTGCCTCCTAATGATTTCATTAATGACTTCTAAAGAGAGTGACCAGAGAACCCACACAATGGGTCTGGTGCTGCTAGGTGGAAGTGGAAACAGACGTCAGGGAGCAGAAGGATATATCTCTCCATCAAATCGACACGTTGCAGTCTCTTCTCTGGGAAGCATTTCACAATCTGTATAGATTTAAAATTGTTTATTTAAAAGGGAAATGACATCACACTGCTACAACTGTGAGCTGTAATCAAAATCGTAGCAGCGGGCAACAAAAAAGGACTTGAGGGAGTGGGGATGCAACCTTGGAGAAACGTCAGGATTTTCACTGTCACTGCCACAAAGCCCCCTGAACACTACCCATGTGTAGGAAAGGTAGCCCTAAAAGAAATGAATGCTTAATTTTTGTTTGTTATTGTTATTTTGGTCTCTTTCTTTTTTCTAAATGACCCCTACCAAACTAAAGAAATGCTTCACTGGAACCTAGAAGTAGGAAAAGGTGACATTTAAAGCCCGATTCTGCTCACGTTCACAATTTGTAAATCATTTTTCCCCCTAATCCATCACTAGTAGACACCAAGAAACATATTCTGCTCTTCGACACCTTTTAGACTCACGCCGTGTGCAGGTAATAGCTTTAACATTTGGGTCGCTGCGTCTCAGTATGGCTGTGCCTCATATACATGTATCCATAGGATATAAATACTCAGATAATTAAGCCTCACTTCTTGAAAGACGCTGATTAATAGAATGTGGATCACGGAAATGGAAATCACACAATCTCCAAACGAAGCAGCGTCAAAGCAGCACAGGAAATAAGCTCAATAGCAATTCAGAGACCTTCACTATAGGGTTCCTAATGATGCTGCGCAGCCATTTCAGCATCAGCAACACGCAGAAAGATCAATGATTAACAACAAAACATCACAGTTGTTTATATTCTCTTACCAAATGACAAGCAGTGTGTGTTATTTCAACACAGAGCAATTAAGTGGATATCATGTTGGGATAAATCCTTTGGATTAACACTTAGCTGAGCATCCCTGTCAGTGTGCCTGCTCTGAATAATAAAATAAGACACAAACAGTGTCACAGAGACGGAGAGCAGTGGACCGTGAGACATGATGACATGGAGATTTGGTTGGTGTGATGTACAGGTGCTGGCCAGTAAATTAGAATATCATCAAAAGGTTGAAAATATTTCAGTAATTCCATTCAAAACGTGAAACTTGTACATTATATTCATGCAATGCACACAGACCAATGTATTTCCAATGTTAATTACATTTAAATTTGATATTCATAAGTGACAACTAATGAAAACTCCAAATTTGGTATCTCAAAAAATTAGAATATTCTGAAAAGGCTGAATATAGAAGACACCTGCTGCCACTCTAATCAGCTGATTTACTCAAAACACCTGCAAAGGCCTTTAAAAGGTCCCTCAGTCTTGTTTTGAAGGCACCACAATCATGGGGAAGACTTCTGACTTAACAGCTGTCCAAAAGACAATCATTGACACCTTGCACAAGGAGGGCAAGACACAAAAGGTGATTGCTAAAGAAGCTGGCTGTTCGCAGAGCTCTGTGTCCAAGCACATTAACAGACAGGCGAAGGGACGGAAAAAATGTGGTAGAAAAAAGTGTACAAGCTCTAGGGATAACCGCACCCTGCAGAGAATTGTGACGACAAACCCATTCAAAAATGTGGGGGAGATCCACAAAGAGTGGACTGCAGCTGGAGTCAGCGCTTCAAGAACCACCACGAGGAGACTCATGAAAGACATGGGATTCAGGTGTCGCATTCCGTGTGTCAAGCCACTCTTGAACATGAAACACTCTTGAACATGAAACAGCGCAAGAAGCGTCTCGCCTGGGCCAAGGACAAAAAGGACTGGACTGATGCTGAGTGGTCCAAAGTTATGTTTTCTGATGAAAGCAAGTTCTGCATTTCCTTTGGAAATCAAGGACCCAGAGTCTGGAGGAAGAGCGGAGAAGCACAGAATCCACGTTGCATGAGGTCCAGTGTAAAGTTTCCACCGTCAGTGATGGTGTGGGGTGCCATGTCATCTGCCGGTGTTGGCCCACTCTGTTTCCTGAGGTCCAGGGTCAATGCAGCCGTCTACCAGGAAGTTTTAGAGCACTTCATGCTTCCTGCTGCTGACCAACTTTATGGGGATGCAGACTTCACCTTTCAACAGGACTTGGCACCTGCACACAGTGCCAAAACCACAAGCACCTGGTTCAAGGACCATGGTATCCCTGTCCTTGATTGGCCAGCAAACTCGCCTGACCTTAACCCCATAGAAAATCTATGGGGTATTGTGAAGCGGAGGATGCAATACGCTAGACCCAACAATGCAGAGGAGCTGAAGACGACTATCAGAGCAACCTGGGCTCTCATAACACCTGAGCAGTGCCACAGACTGATCGAGTCCATGCCACGCCGCATTACTGCAGTTATTGAGGCAAAAGGAGCCCCGACTAAGTATTGAGTGCTATACATGCACATTCTTTTCATGTTCATTCTTTTCAGTTGGCCAACATTAGAGAAACAAACATTTTTTCATTGGCCTTTAGAATATTCTAATTTTCTGAGATACCAGATTTGATGTTTTCATTGGTTGTCACCTATAAATATCAAAATTAAACGTAATAAACATCGGAAATACATTGGTCTGTGTGCATTGCATGAATATAATGTACAAGTTTCACGTTTTGAATGGAATTACTGAAATATTTTCAACCTTTTGATGATATTCTAATTTACTGGCCAGCACCTGTATAAGACCAACATCTGAGAAACGGAAAAAGGAAAAGCAGAGATGTAGACGGGAAGGATCACCTATGCACGATGGAAGGTTGTTGTCCCATGCTCTCCTCTCCCCGGTCATGCACTTCAGCGTGGCACTGCCGTGCAGGGTGTAGCCTTTTTCACAGCCAAAAGCAATCGAACTTCCAGCAAAGTGTCCCTGGTCACTGGTTTTGAAACCAAACTGTGGAACACCGGGATCATCGCAGTGGGAAAGTTCAAAGCCTGGACAGAAACATGCGGAGCAGGTCAGAAACAGTCAAAACAAACGCTTTTATAAAATTACTAAAAGTCTCATATCAACATTAAAGGTCAACATTACTCATATATTTAAATCATTTGCAGAGGTGTTTAGTAGGAAGTTGTGCTCTGGCAAAAAAGCTCCGGTGCACCTGTGTGAGGAACTAGAAGTGAGCCAGATCAGAGTTGCGCTGAACACGCCGCGATCTGAAGTCGTATCTCCTGATGTTTGGACATCTCTCCTCTGACTGACTAACACCAAATGCCAATATATTTATCTCCACCAATAACACAAGCCCAGAGGAGTTTGATGTGTGGTGGAGTTGCTAAAGCTAACAGTTAGCTTCTACTAGTCGAGACGTTCTCTGCTGTTTCCTGGAGGCTAAACCAACAACAGCCTTCCCTGTCATGAGTCCAGATGGGTGAGTCCAGATGGGTGAGTCCATGAATGTTAGTGACAGTGTGATGTCGATCTGTCAGGCTTTTCTAATCCTAGAGTTTCACCGTCTGTTTTCTATCAGAAGCTAATGCAGGAGATAGGTGTAGGAGACTATTTTCATGCTCACTCAGAGTAACTGATTATAATCAGGCACAATCATTAAAACATGTTTATTTCAGTGGAGTTGACCTTTAGGAGGGTTTTTACTGTAAATCAGTCATTCGGTTTGCCAGCGTCATAATTCCATCCATCTGGATTACAAAGAGGTTTAGACTGAGCTTTGAGAATTAATTTCCGGTTGAGCACAGATGAAGGCTTATAGTCCTTTTATATGACTTGGCAGTAAATGATTCTTTTTGGACAGAGAACACAATTAGACATTCACAATTAAGTGTTTAATTGAGTGTGGACGTTTACTACGACTGAGAAACAGCCCGTCCAATTGGAGCACTTTGGAAATACAAAAGCCATTAAATAACAGCCACAAACAACAGAATGATGCAATAACTCTTGTGTCTGGATGTGACTGTGGCCTTTCTATGGCATCCTCTCTTCCAGGTACATCACATGAGCGTGCTGCTATGCAGCAACAGTGGCTGCACATAAACCTAGCAGCGCTGATTTATGACCCGGTCTCCCAGAGAGGTCCGTGCCCATGCCAGGTGTTATAGCACTGTAGTATTACAAGTGTCATGCTCAATATAAATTCCCAGCAGTTAACACTCACATTTAGAAAATTACTTCAGGCCTTTGGGTAAAGAAGTCATGAAAACATGATCAGATTTCATGTTCAGGCTAGATTTAAGTGAGCCATGTCCCTACCTTCTCTCTGCCACTGTGTGATTCATTCATTCGTTCATACACCCATCCTTCCCCTCCAAGTTAAAAGGAGCCATTCATTCAAACTGAAAACACCATGTGAAGACTGCACTTTAGAATAGATAAAAGGTGCTGGTCTACATAATGCATTTACCTTGTGCAAAGCCCTGGAAAGAATGGAAATTTACAAAAGAAATCCAATTACTGTCAGTGATCCTCAGTAATACTTTCCTCTGTAGCTCAACAGCACAGTCTGTAATTAAAGCATTTCTACTCAACTAATTGCAGTTGCATTTAGAAACAGACGGTCAATTGTTGTGTTGTTCCAGTGGGCAAATGGTACTGATTAATGTTCTTTTTGTTCTTTTTCTCAGATCTGCCAGAATAACTGTTGATAATTTGGCAGATTTGATGATTCATCAAAGACCTAACCCTGTTTTCTGGCAAGTATACATTACCTTAATAATAATAATAATAATAATAATAATAATAATAATAATAATAATAATAATAATAATGATAAAATAATAATAATACCTTTTTAAAACTGTTTTATTGTCTTTTTTTACTGTTTTACTAGGAAATATCATCCATTAAGAATAAAATTTCTTTTACACAAAAAAACCCCAATAACAATTAAAAGTTTAATGCGTTTTCTGAGTTTTATCTCAGAAATATTACTTTTTCTCAGAAGTCAAAAAGTCAGAATCCTGAGATTCAAGTCAGAAATTTTAGTCTTTTCTGTTTTATTTTTCAGGGGCCCTAATTCTGTTCTGAATAATGGACTCCTAGCCAAGACAGCAGGTAAAAACAGTTACAAATAATAATAATAATAATAATAATAATAATAATAATAACAATAGTTTTAATATTTGGCCTACATCTTCAAAAACACCTATTAAATATGAATTTGTCTCTAAGTAAACTAATAGAAAAGCAAACAGAAACGTCAGAGTGCTGTAACACAAAAGCACTTTAAATTGGACAACAACATGTAGCCTCACCAGAGTGTCCTCTTGTCATAGTAATAAATTAGAAATGGTTAGCAACAACACACAGTCAGAGAGCCAATTAGAGGAGATGCCAACTGTACCCATCTATTATTGGCCTACTTAACACAATAAGCAAAAATTTCAACACACACGTATGTTAAAAAAAACACCGTAGACAGCATAAACACACACACACACACACACACACACACAAAGCTAAACAGTGGTTTCAAACAGTCCCAACAATAATTCAGTTGTTTTAACAAGGTTCAGTTAGGCAGGCATGGGCGCTAATTGCAGGGGTAGAGTGCAACAGAAAGGAAGGAAAGGGAATTCACACAGAGAGAGACAGACAGAGAAAGAGGACAGATAGAAAATTGCTCATTTTCCTGCTGGAGAGGGGCAGAAACACCACGCTGTGCCTAATGGATTCTCTGACAGTGAAAGACATGGAGAGGCAGGGTGAGGGTCAATTAAAACCTTCTTTTAAATTCAGCTACTTGAAATGCCAAGCTCCTAAAATGAAGCTAAACTCACACATTTGGATAAGGCTGAGGAGCCCTGTCCCCTGGGGAAATAAACGCGACTCACAGTGGTATATGAGGCGGAACCCAGCTGCTGTTGAATCCTGGTCCGAGTAGAATTCAAGCCACAGGAAGTTGGAAGTGCTGGTGAGGAAAAGGCCTTGCATCAGTGTCCCAGTGTAGGTGCCCAGAAGGGGAGCTGTTCCATCTTTTCCATCGTACAGCTGGTCAGAGACAAAGCAATGGTGTGAGAGGGTTTCTGTTCATTACGATCCGTAAAAGTCATTTATAATTATTGGTTTTATGATTCATACGATCACTATAAACCAGGGATGTTCAACATTATCGGCCCACCATTAATATCGGCAGATATCGGCGTTAAAATGTAATATCTGAAAATATCGATAACGGTCTTTTAATGACATGTTACATCCCAAACACACGTTACATGCCATATACACGTTACATTCCATACACACGTTTCACCCTATACACACGTTACATCCCCTACACATGTTACATCCCATACACACATTACATCCAATACACATGTTACATCCCATACACACGTTTCACCCTATACACACGTTACATCCCCTACACATGTTACATCCCATACACACATTACATCCCATACACATGTTACATCCCATACACACGTTTCACCCTATACACACGTTACATCCCCTACACATGTTACATCCCATACACACATTACATCCCATACACATGTTACATCCCATACACACATTACATCCCATGCACACGTTACATCCCATACACACATTACATCCCATACACACGTTACATCCCATACACACGTTACATCCCATACACACGTTACATCCCATACACACGTTACATCCCATACACACGTTACATCCCATACACACGTTACATCCCATACACACGTTACATCCCATACACACATTATATCCCAAACACATGTTACATCTCATTCCCACGTTACATCCCATGCACATGTTACATCCCAAACACACATTATATCCCAAACACATGTTACATCTCATTCCCACGTTACATCCCAAACACACACGTTACATCCAATACACACGTTACATCCCATACACACATTACATCCCATACACACGTTACATCCCATGCACACATTACATCCCATACACACGTTACATCCCATACACACGTTACATCCCATACACACGTTACATCCCATACACACATTATATCCCAAACACATGTTACATCTCATTCCCACGTTACATCCCATGCACATGTTACATCCCAAACACACACGTTACATCCAATACACACGTTACATCCCATACACACGTTACATCCCATACACACGTTACATCCCATGCACACATTACAACCCATACACACGTTACATCCCATACACACATTATATCCCAAACACACGTTACATCTCATTCCCACGTTACATCCCATACACATGTTACATCCCAAACACACACATTACATCCCATACACACGTCACATCCCATACACACGTTACATCCCATACACACGTCACATCCCATACACACGTTACATCCCCTACACACGTTACATCACATACACACGTTACATCCCATACACACATTACATCCCATACACACACGTTACATCACATTCACACACATTACATCCCATACACACGTTACATCCCATACACACACTGTACATCCCATACACATGTTACATCCCATACACACGTTACATCCCATACACACACGTTACATCCCATACACACATACGCACACGTTACATCCCATACACATGTTACATCACATACACATGTTACATCCCATACACACGTTACACGCTTTACATCCCATATGCACGTTACATCCCATACACACATTACATCCCATACACACACGTTACATCCCAAACACACGTTACATCATCTTACACACGTTACATCCAATACACACACGTCACATCCCATACACACACGTTGCATCTCATACACACGTTACATCCCATACACACGTTACATCATCTTACACACATTACATCCAATACACGCACGTCACATCCCATACACACACGTTGCTTCTCATACACACATTAAACCCATACACACGTTACATCCCATCCACACACGTTAAATCCCAAACACACGTTACATCATCTTACACACGTTACATCCAATACACACACGTCACATCCCATACACACACGTTACATCCCATACACACGTTACATCATCTTACACACATTACATCCAATACACACACGTCACATCCCATACACACACGTTGCTTCTCATACACACAATACATCCCATACACACGTTACATCCCATACACACGGTACATCCCCTACACACGTTACATCTCATACACACAATACATACCATACACACGTTACATCCCCTACACACGTTACATCTCATACACACACGTAACATCCCATACACACGTTACATCATCTTACACACATTACATCATCTTACACACATTACATCCAATACACACACGTCACATCCCATACACACACGTTACATCCCATACACACACGTTGCATCTCATACACACGTTACATCCCATACACACACGTTACATCCCATGCACACATTACATCTCATACACACATTACATCCCATACACACGTTACATCCCATGCACACGTTACATCTCATACACACACGTTACATCCCATTCACAAGTTATATCTCATACACATGTTACATCCCAAACAAGCACGTTACATCCCATACACACGTTATACATCAAACTCTCCAGCTATATTCTCTCTCTCAAAATGTAAAAATATAACAGATCTGAAAATTTCGAAGATATTTTAGTTTATTTGGCAAAATTTGTGAATTAGAAATTTGACCTGTGTAGTGACGTACACTGTCCTCGCAGCACATAGATGTGTGTAGCTAACAGCTAACAAACCACTAAAACAACAAAAATAATCTTGCTTTTATGATCTGAAGATCTTTGATAACCACCATAACTGCAACATACAGAAAAAGAACAACTACATCACTAACTAAACTACAATAGCTACATTTTCAACGTGCATGATAGGAGCTATGTGATGTCAGTAACCTCAAATGTTTTAGATTTTCTTTTTTATGAAACAGCAGATATTGGTATCGGAAATGAAGAGTCAGACAATATCAGATATGGGTCAAAAAGCCAATATTGAGCAGCTCTATTATAAAGCTGTCCTTTTGCATGTCTCAGTTATTCCAGCAGATATGAAATGAATATGAAAAAGAACAGATAGATAGGTGGAACTGATTCTAATTCCCACTGCTAATACTCTGAGAATTCTATTCAAATGTAAGATTCATTGTCATACTGTCAAGAGACAATGTCGAGTATTACAACAAAAATTTTGTTCTTTCTTAAAATCTAAAGACCAGCTCTTCAATTTCCCAAAACGGCACAAACTTAAAGCCTTTCAGGTCTCTTCTGAAACAATATTATAGTGATATTGTACCTTTCATTGGATCAAAAATAACTTTCCTTTTTTTCACAAAACCACAAAATTCTGAAGAACCCTCAACAATAGGCAGGAATGCGCTTAGCGTGAGCATTAGACAAGAAATCTGCATCCCAAACGAGTGGATTCCAGCTGTGAACTGGGGACTGCATAGCAATTTACGTCCCATTTTTATTTACATCCCATCGGTGGTGCTTACCAAAACTGCTAAAACACCCTCAAGCAAAGAAATAAATCCTTTTCTTCTGAAAAGCCTTGCTGCCGGGGTCGCTGTTCCACCTCAGATTCTCACGTCAGAACAATAGTTTGTTCTGGAAGAAGCTTCTAAAGCAAATCCCTTCTTAAATATTCCATTTCTGTTGATAAAAATAACTCAACGCCCTTAAAAAAGGTAAAGAATCACACACGTTTGTGGCTCCTTGTTTGATTGTGTGTCTGTCACAGAAGAGAAGGAGACATGTTATTTACCTTAAGGATGTCACCTTGCGCGAGCTGGAAGGTGCTGGCGGTGATGTTGATGCCTTTGCCTGTTTGGACCTGAATGCTGTAGACACATTCATGGCTGTTGTCGTAGTTCATTGGGAAGTTTGGGGACAGAAGAACCCCCTCGTTTTTGGAGACCGTGGATCCACACTCAGCTGCAGGAGAAGAAGCACGGATAACGGACAGAATCAGTTCAACAACAATGTGCACTACAGATGGGATAAAGTCAACATTACATAACTAGATCCTTATCTAAACAGATAAAGGTACCATTTAACTGTTTTCCTTGGTGGAACAATTATTACTTTCTCCTCTTAAAAATCATCAACCGGCAGTGAGTCACTGTGAAACACCAAGTAGACAATCAAAGGAGCGGCGGCTCCTTCTCAACACACATCAGGATCGCTTTACACAATAAACGGCTCTTAGTTGACAAAATCTGTGTAAAAAAAAAGAGTGTATAGCTAAAAGCTATTTTTACTTTACAAACATACTTGAAGATACGCTTTACTCATAATTTAATAAATCTGCAGCAATCTCTAGTAGGAATAAATGCCTTGAAAGTCGTACTCATGGGGATAAAAGCTCCAGTGAGAATTCATGAAAGTAGCTTCAGACGGCAGGAGTCGTATTTCCTGATGTGTGGACATCTCTCCTCTGATTGGCTAACAGCAGCACAATTCTATCACTGACTCTGTTTGCTCTGCAACGTTGATGTTTTATCTTCACAGATAACACAAGCCTGGAGGAGTTCTGTTGTGTTGTAAAATTGCTAACGCTAATGGTTAGCTTCTAAGCCGAGACGTTCTCTGCTGTTTCCTGGACGCTAAGCCAACAACAGCCTTCCCCGTTGTGAGTCCAGATGGGTGAGTCCATGAATGTTAAGTGACAGTGTGACGTAGATCTGTCAGGCTTTTCTAATCCTAGAGTTTCACCATCTGTTTTCTATCAGAAGCTAATGCAGGAGAGAAGTGTAGGAGACTTTTTTCATGTTCAGCCTGCATGAAATAGTCATTAAAATGTTTTTTTCAGTGAAGTTGACCTTTGATGTAGGGGAAAATGTTACATGTTTGAAATATGTGGTTTGTGAAGTTACAACCACTGGTTAGCTTCTCACAATCGTAGCTAATCTGTTCAAGTTCATGCTTCTATCATTATTGGCCCTTATTTGCCTAAATTAGATGCAGAGAAATGAGAAAAAAGCAGCTGACCACGTACCCACACACCTTGGCAGAGGGGCGCTCCACATGCGGCGGCCACCTCCCAGGCACACAATCTCCCTCGCCCCCTGCAGGCGATAACCGGTGTTGCAGAAAAACGACAGCGAGTCACCGATGCCGAACCTGGAGCCTGTGTGCCATCCGAACCGAGGCGTTCCAGGATCCTGACAGGGCTCCAGGTTGTACTCTACAAAACAAGATAACAAGAAATAAATACACAAATAGATCAGCTGTTGTAAACCCAAACGTCTCAAAGATTTATGTTTCTGATTCTCCGTTTGTTAGTTAGACTTGAACTTAAATGAACACTGTAAATCAGTCCCTTGTTGTTCCTTGCTTCCTACCAAAGAAGACTAAACATTCAGCCACAGAGAGAAATACTGTAGCTCATGAGGATTAACTGTCTTGCTCAAGGACATTTCATCAGGTTGGGATACGTGCCCAAAGCTTGAGATGTCGAAATGAAGGATTGGGCTCTAAAAAACTAGGCCACCTCTGTGCACATTTTTTCTTTCACACATGAGTGGTGGTTGGTGGCTTTAAAATTTTAGAAGCTGGGTCTCGGGTCAGGTCTGAAGAATAACATCTTAATGCCAGCAGCACTTCTCCCATCGCCTGTATCGGGCCGTATGCAGAGCTATACTGTCTGATCAATGTGAGCCCAGTCAGGCATCATGGCAGCAGCAGCATCATCGGCAGAATCTGATCAAAGGTTCCGAAAGGTCACAAAATGAATTCTAATCAGGAAATCTATAGCTGTTAATTAAGGAGCATGCAAGGACAAAAAACTATCAGGTTCATGAATATTCATGCCTGCATAAGTTATGCTCTACTTCAGCAAACAGCAGGAAAATATTTTGCAAGGATTCTTATAAAACCAACCCCCCTCCCTCCTCCTCCATGCCTCTCCTTCTGTCACTCCACCTCACTCTCCTTCTGCCCTATCAACTCTGCTCACTCAGCATCACCATCTGTCTCACCTCCTTCTCCATATCTCTATAAAATGTCCATTCCCACTTCTCTGTAATTATCCATTCCTGGCTCTCTGCATGGGGGCCCTTTTTTCTGAGCACTGCAGTTTCTTCGGTCCTCAGGAAGCTGGCCCACATGCTTTGATGGGTATTATTATCATGGTCAGACACCTACTGCCGGTGCGACCTCTCTGTGAGGTAATTATCCTCCTCAGACCAGTGAGCCCTGCAGCATGATTTACCTTCGGCCCACTGGCTGACAAAAAAACCCTCACACGTTACTTTATGCAAGCTTCAGAAAGGCTTAGGGCTTTTGATCTACTCTCTGAGAAAAGAAAACCTTTTTTCTGTCTGCCCATCACTGCCTTTCAACGTGGCATTTCCCTTCCATAAACAACACTACCAACCACTTCCTGAGCACTCCCCTTCTCCAATCTCCACACAATTTACCCTCCATCCCTACTTCATATCTTCACGTCAACACACTTCCACTTCCATTCCTCCTAGACAGAACCGACATATGCCTTCCTACCTGAGAAGGAGATGTTGAATCCCTGTAGAGATATGGAGAAGTCAGAAATGAAGCGCAGCTGGGCCTTGAAGTTCCCATACAGGCCGGCGTTAACCGGCGCCGGCCTCTCCGAGCCAGTGAGTCGAGCCAGAGGCTGAGCGAAGCTGCCATTTTCTGTTATCAGCAGGTAGTCATGGTGATCCTCCAGGTGGAAAGTGTGAAAAGTGAACTGGACACCTCGAAAGAGAAAATAAGAGTCTGGTTTTAATGATTTGGGGAACATAGGAGGAATCATTCACAGAGGCAGAGTTATGTCTATAATTGTATCTGTCATTTTAAACGTCTAGAGTGTGTTTTTTATTAAAGGATCAGAAATGTGTTTAGTTTCATCATTAGTGATGAAATAAAGATAAACAAAGACCTCATTCTCCCTTTAAGAAAACTAAAAACTGTCATCCTGAGATGTTATCCTGACGTCAGACTCAGATCGGACACGTCAGTCCCTCCGACTTTTCCAGACAGACACCTGGTTCCAGTTTCTAGGGGATTGGATATAATATCTGCAGACTGCTAGGTCTAAAGATCCAGCACCACTCTAGACTGAGCCCAGACTGTAGATGATCAGTAGTTCAATAGTTTCTAAGAGTTACTGCCAGTGGCATGGGTTTATATTCTCTCACTTGAACCTCTCGGTTTTGTTCAATCCCAATCATGAAAGAGCATCATCCTGCATGTTTTAGCTGTTTCCCCAGTTTGGCAAGCCATCCCACCTATGTAAATATATGATCTGGCCATGACCCATAGACAGAAGGGTTAGAGTTCTACAGAATCTACGGTTGTCTTTAAAACTGTCTGTGCATGCTATTGGACAACTCTAGGACACATCAGATCATTTTTCCTGTAGCGTTTTTATCAGAAGTCAGTCATCAGGGGCAGTCTGCGATACACCATTGGCAGGACGAAGCAAATACATACCCTTTTAAAATGAATGACTTAAGTACCTCCATCTGCTCATGCCAAAAGCCAAAGTCTAAATCACAAGTGTCAAACTCCGGTCCGCAAGGGCCGCCATCCCACATGTTTTAGTGTTTTCCCTGTTTCAAAACACCTGATTTGAATCAGCAGATCATCATCATCATCATCATCATCATCATCTTTATTTGTATAGCGCTTTAAAAAACACAGCCATACTGCTGACCAAAGTGCTGAACAGTCACACAATAATAAAAATATAACACATGAAACAATAAAATGCAACCAAGAATACAATAAAACAAGCCCAAAATAAAATGAGTTACCAATAAAACCAATGGAAACATGTCCTCCAAGTATAGTAAAGTAAAGTAATAAAGCCCATCCTGCAGCCAACTGTTAAATGCAAGGGTACAATAGTGTGTCTTTAATCTAGACTTAAAATCCTCTAAGGAGGATGCCTGTCGAACTGTGACTGGGAGTTCATTCCACAGTTTAGGACCACCAACAGAAAAAGCTCTTTCTCCACATGATTTGTAATGCACTTCCGGGACCTCGAGGAGCAACAAGATGATTAACAGGCTTCTGGAAAGCTTGATGAGCTGCTCCACAGGTAAACACGGAAACAACAAAAAGATGCAGGATACTGGCCCTTGAAGACTGGAGTTTGACACCCCTGATCTAAATCGTCCAAAATTGATTCTAAAGCTATTTCTAATGAGCGGCGTTCCTAGCGGCGCCAATGCCCTCTTTGTAGTATTTCTTTGTCACAGCTCCAGTACGGGCAACGGTGGCACAGGATTTAAGTGCTCACCCGTAATCGGAAGGTTGCAGGTTTGAGCCCTGATCAGTCTGTAGCTGCTGTTGTGTCCTTGGGCAAGACACTGGCTGTGTCTCAATTCAGGGTCTGCATCCTTCGTCGGCCGGTTACGTCACAGCGCCGCGACCAGGCCTGTCCCAATTCGAAGACTCCTTCAAATGCGGTCGACGAATTGTCATGTGTCTTGCCCATGTATGTCTGATCCCTGAATTGTGTGTACTGAAACTCTAATTTCCCTCTGGGATTAATAAAGTATCTTTGATTTGATTTGATTTGATTTGATCACCACTAGGGTGTGAACAGGTGAGTGACTGATTGTGTTTAAAGTGCCTTGGAGGGTCCCAGAACTCTAGAAAGCACTATATCAAATACAGGCCATTTTAGTGCAAAGTCCACCCAACAAGGATAGAATGCTTTAATTGGCTTGTCACCAGAACTGCTCTGTCCAATGGTAGACCTGCTGGGGCTACAGGGGTGTAGCTATACTGACCTGCAGAGCAGAATCTATCTGTCTGGAGATATTCAACAGCCTCCCACGACCCTGCATGTACGAGCGGGTCCAGATGATGGACGGATGGACGGATGGTTGGACAGATGATTTGTCTAGATTTCTAGACTACTGTTTCCCTGGTCAAATTCACACCCTGAAATATTGAATTAACTTAACCAAGTTATGTCACGTTGTTCCATTAAACCCAGTTGAATAATACACATTTACTTTTACATTTCACATAACGCACACAGATGTTAATATTTAAGCAGCTGGGTTTAGTGGAACCAGTAAACTCATCTATTCATCATGTCCTCAAGTTTGCAGAAGATTGTTACTCAAACAGCGATTTAGAAAAACCTACAGCCTACAGATTCATGCAGGTTGCTCTAAGTAATGACATTTGATAAACTGGCAGGATAACAGGAAGTTATTTTTGGTATTCTGATCATCTGTGCATGTTTTAATATGCTTTCAAGCCCACAAAGGAACGTGCTCCTGTAATAAAATACTCAAACCTGCAGGTATGACCACATTTCTGATCTGAACAAAAAATCTGTGTTGTTTGATGAATGGTCAAATAATTATTTAAAAACAGGATTATGCATTTAGAAATCACCCATGAGCAATCATTCAGTGGAGGTTTTTTCTCTTTTCACTGATGTTATAAATCATTTAAAAACATGTCTGTACATAAAAATATCAGTCCAGCAAATTTAAGAGTAATTTGCAGTCAGGCGTCAGAGAAAACTGTTCTTTGATTAATTCTGTTGTAAGAGCTGAGACATCCACCTTATAGCTGCTACACCTGTGTCTCCCACACTACAAAGATGTAATCATTTAAATATTAGACAAGTTCATGATTATAACAGACCGAGCTTCACTGCAAGATTCTTTAAACACACAAACGTAAAAAACTAAGATTTCTATCAATCCACCCACTGCAGTCATGATGGCAGAACTGGAGCTTAACGCTAAAGAAAAACCTCATCGATAGAATTGAAAACACTCATTTTAGAAACTTTTGTTGTAATTGTGAAGATTAAGGTGCTACTGAATCAGACTCAATAACGACATCCTGTTTCCTTCCTGGACGGCCAACTGGCTGTTTTTCAGCACAATCAGTGCTGCCATGTCCGAGCCATCTGCTGTATCTGTTCCAACATGACTGAGTACTGTCCTCCAATGTTTCAGCTCACTTGATAAAGGCTTTCCCAGATGACCCTAAAATGGATATCAAAATAAAACCATTGATCATTTAATTACAAAGCATAAAGACAAATGATCAGTCAATCAGGAGTCACCTCTGTGAGGTCCCTCTCTCGTAGGTGCGAGGTGGAGCTAATACAGCTGATTTTCTTTTTGCCTGAATCACAATTCAAATCAATGTTTCTCACATAAAAAATACAAGTTCTAGATTGTTTTTCAGATTTACTCCTTTTGAGACTAACTTCCACACGTTCATTTTCTTTTGCTCAGTAGGATCACAAGAGATTAGGGGCCTCATTTATCAAGCTTGCTTACGCACAAAACGGGGTCGGAAAACTGCGTAAGCAACTGTCCACGCAAACTTTGGGATATATGGAAGAAAACTTAGCTGAAAAATGTGCGCAGCTTCAAGTTGACTACAGACCTGGCTTACCCACATGTTGGACGTGGAGAGCACCTGCAGTGCTGCTGCTAAGATACAATTATGAAATCCTGCAGCATTATCACTTGTACTGCTTTGTGCGCACACAGAACAAGACCCCCCCACATGCACACAAACGTGCACGCGCACACTCACACACACCCACGTGCGCGCGCACACACACACACACACACACACACACACACACACACCTAGGGACAATTTAGGGTTGCCAATCAACCCAAAATGTACTGTATCTGTCTTATTTTTACTTCCTTTGTTTTGTGCAGTGACAGAGTTGTCTGTTGCCTTGCAGTTAGAAGGTCCTGGGTTCAAATCCCAACCTTGGGTTATCTGCATGAGTCAGCTTGCTCTCCCTATGGTTTTCTCTGGGAACTCTGGCATCATCGCACAGTCGAAAAACATGACTGTTGGGTCCATCGCTCTCTTCTAAATAGTCCTCAGGTGTGAGTTAACATGCAACCTGTCCAGGTGTTCCTTGCCTGCTAGCCCAATGACAGCTGGAGATAGGCACCAACCCTGCGAGGATACACAGCTATCAATGATGGATTTGTCTCTTAAATTAGCTATACTTGATATTTATGCAAAAAAGCACCCTGAGCACACTATTCTTCCTATAAACTATGCTGCTGTTTCCATCAATGTTCTTCACATTTTCAGGCCCAGCTGTTCACAGGAACATTTGTTGTATCTAGAATGAGCATTCTGGATTTCTAAAGTAAAGTTTCAATGGAGAAAAATCTATTTGAGATGACTAATGAAGTTGGCAGTCATCCAGCTCTCACCATTGTCTAACTAATGCTCACAGACCTTTATTGTTTCATTGCTGTAGTAAAGTTGTTGTTGATTGTTCAATTAAAATACTTTTTAAAACAATAAAAATATTGGGTAGCACTTTACAATAAGGGTCCCTTTATTAACAATACTTAGTGCATTATTAAGCATTAATAAACCATTACATAAAATGTTAACAAACGCTTTTATGTATTATATAGCACTATTTCATGTATTATTAAGCATTTAATAATGTCTATTACTGGACCTAAAGGTCCAAAATTTATTCAGTAATGATTAATTATGTGTAATGTCCAGCAATGGTCAGTTTTAGGTACAGTTTGACCTTTCAACATCTGTTCAACATCTGGTCAAACTGGAAACACAGGACTGCTTGTGTTCCCTTTAAATGAGCCTGCCTTCATACCAGCTGGAGATCACAGACTCGGCAGCTCTGACAACAGATAACGACATGTCAACAATAGCTTTCTTCCCCACGGTCTCCATTTAAGGAACACTCCAGTTCGGAT